GAATTGTGGTTCATTTGTGGGGGGGAGGGGGGGGTGAGCTACCCCAACCCCCCTCTAAATATTGTAGTCAAGTGAAAATATTTCATTACATTGACGTAGGGTGTCAGAGCTGGAACAGAATGCATGATAGACAATAGCAGATATATATTGCTACTCATTTAAAGTTGACCTAAAGTTTAGTTTGTTTTACCATTGAGTGACACATGCCCCCACCCTGAGTTTGGTATACCACCTACTGCCCCTTTTGAACAAGGTCACACGACTGGGCTGGGGGGAAGCATGCGTGGCCTGTGTTCTATTTTATGTACCCCTTTTAATTTAAATTCGTAATCTTTGTAGTTATTATTCTCCAGCTAAATGTGGAGGAGAAAATATCAGTAATAGGATACACCTTTTCAGAGATCTTACACGTGCAGCTTTTCCTATGCTGGCTGGATGAGGTGGGGGGGCTAGGCGGTGTGTGAAATAACATCCGCACGTTTCACACCACGAGGATGGGGAATTAGCCAAGCAACATCCCGTGGTGTCCCGGGAAAGTATTTATATACACACACGCGCGCACAGATTAAGCCGTGGTTTTAACCCCAAGTAGAAATAAAATAGAAGAGATGGTCATTAGACGTAAATATGAGTAGATTAAAGGAAAACAGTTTTAATTCAAGCCAAATGTTTATAAAATGACTTAAGCACTGTTTGTTTCAGGGTGGGTTCTGTACACTTCTGTGCAGGAACAATTCTAATTGTCATGCTATTGGAAGCGACATTTTCAATTTATGCAAAACACCAGAGTCTTAATTGTGCAATACGCTTTGCTGTTCATTAAAAATTTGGTGATGAATGAATATTTTTCGTTGAAATAAAAGGACCTAAAGTTCTATGACCAGGTTTGTAGTTTTTACTTTTTTTCCCCTTTAAACTGTTATGTTAAAGGTTACATTACTCACTTGACTAATTAGTTTTCTCCTACAAGTTTGTTACGGCATTTGTTACTCTGCACATGATATACGATTAGTGTGCGTGCATGTGTACGTGTGTGTGTGTAGGGAGCGGTAGCGTAGCATTGAGCACACTGCGAAATGAACCTGGCGACCTGAGTTCGATTCTCGCTCATGGCCAACATCAGTGACGGTTATCTGAACCGGTCCTAGTTCTCCCCTAGGTCGACTCAGCCTCAAATCAATACCTGGTGTAGGATGTGAACATCCCCCTTTGAGGAGACAAAGGCGGTCAGGCGTGGTGCTGACCACCCACGCCCTCGTGTACCGTAATGCCCTATATAGGTGCGTGCTAACAGCACTTGCCCCAACAGTATGTAAAGGCTAAATCTTGACTTGAAGCTTTAGGGTCTGTCGGTAAAGTCACATAGATAAAAAAAAATACAAAAAGATAACGACGTTTCGATCGCAACACAAGCAATCGTCTTAAGGTGAAAAAATACAGCAGGCGAACTGCTGAGGCAGGAGAAATATAGCGGGAGAGCTGCTGCAGCAAGAGGTTATATATATTTTTAGGTTATATAGGTTTGAGATGGGTGCAACCCAAGGGTAAGTGGGCGAGGCTATAGATGTAATTTGCAAGTAAATGTAAGATCGGGGAGCCTGATATACATCACGACTACGGCGCTGATGAGGTGGCCATTGTGTTGCTAGAGATTCGAGATTAGCATGTCAACGTGAGACGGCTCCCACAAGCAGCGGCTGTGTTAATGAGAAGATTGGCATGTCAGTGTCAGAGAATCGGGCACAACGCCACCTCGTGGGCAACAAAAGCTGCTGTGGCGTTGGCCGCAACGGTGGCCGTGCCAGTGAGACATTCAGCCTTTTAAACAACGAGAGCCACCGACACATCGAGGAAAAAGGGAGCAGCGGCTAGGTTAGTGAAATATTTAGGCTGTTAATGTAAAAGCATTTAACAAGGTAATGGAAATAACTGCTAACATCGGCAGGCAGGATGGAAGCATCACCGCCAGTTATGACTTTACCTGGTTAATAACGTCCTTCCAATGATTGCTCAATTTGTTCCCATCTTCTCAGCTGAAATTGTGTCTGTGTTTATATATCTGGATGTCTTCATGAACAAAGCTTGTTGATAGCCAGTATTTTTGCAGAGCACCTTAGTCTTGGAGAAATCAATTTCATGTGTGCCCACAGCATTTAAACAATGATCAGCCACGGCCAAAGTATTGGTCCTACCATGTTTCAGATCCGCCTTGTGTTCACGAACATGGTCTGAGACATGTCGCTTAGTTTCCCAAATGTAACTACTGCCGCAGACACAACTTAGTTTGTAGACACCTGGGTATTGCATGTTAGCGATCACATCCTTCACAGATGGGATCAGTTCACGAATTGTATGTACCGTCTTGAATCGAACCCGGATCTTGTGTTTGCTCATGATTTTGGAAATATTTCTGGTGACCCCTGCTATGTATGGCAAGGTGATGGTTTTGATTGGGTCCTCAGATGGTTCTCTCCCAACGGTTGGGGTGACAGCTTTACAGATTGTGCACTCCGAATATCCATTCATCTTGAGGGCTTGGTGTACGTGCTCCAGTTCACTGGCTAGGTGGTGATGGTCGGAAATGCAATGATGTAGAGTTTTGACGAGGGAATTCTTCTGGGCTGGATGGTGGTGGGAGTCAGGTTTTAGGCATCCGTGTGGGTGGCTTTCCTGTCGACAGTGTCTCTCAATGAGCCACCGTTGCGGTGGCTCTCTTGCCTTGACATGCTGGTCTCTCACAGCCAACGCCACAGCAGCTTTTATTGCCCACGAGGTGGCGTTGTGCCCGGTTCTCTGACACTGACATGCCAATCTTCTCATTAACACAGCGGCAACTTGCGGGAGCCGTCTCACGTTGACATGCTAATCTCGAATCTCTAGCAACACAATGGCCACCTCATCAGCGCCGTAGTCGTGATGTATATCAAACTCTCAGATCTTACATTTACTTGCAAATTCCATCTCTAGCCCTGCCCACTTACCCTTGGGTTGAACCCATCTCAAATCTATATAACCTCTTGCTGCAGCAGCTCTCCCACTATATTTCTCCTGCCTCAGCAGTTCGCCTGCTGTATTTTTTTTGTATTTTTCTTTATTTTGTATTTTTCTATCTATGTGACTTTACCTAAAGACCCAAAGAGTATGTAAAGGCTATACGGGTGATCTTTGTCTTTGTGTATTTTTTTGCGTACACTTTTACTCTGCTAGACATTGAACGGTGCCATAGTGATGTCTGCACACTGCTACAAACTCGATAACCTGAGGTGAATTCCTGGCCACGTCTAACATCGAGCAGTGAGTGATATCAGAACAGTCCAGGACCTCCACCTAGCTCAAACTCAGCCTCAAACGAGCGCCTTCTGTGATGTGTAAACATCAGCACTTGAGGAGAAAAAGCCGGGTGGATGCGATTCTGGGCCGACCATCCCCTTGTGTATCCTGTCTGCCTTAATAGGTGTTTGGAAACAGTGCTTGGCACAACAGTTTGTTCAAATTATGGGGGGTTCTTTGTCTTTTTTATATTCTACTGTGACACTTATTAACCCCATGAGAACCCACAACCTCAAAGATGTAGCTACCAGAAATTCATTTCCAGCACTGATGGGTTTTTAAGTAAAATACATTTATTTCTAAAATACATAAATGGAGTGTGAGGGTTGAGAAAGTCGGGATGGTTGGACGCAGTGAACAGCTTTAAATTCACTGCTCTCAGAAATAATTGCCATTAGAGTGCAGACTACCATAGAGACCACAAAGGAATCCTAGGGATGGCTGTTTACATTTTGAACTTTAAAGAAGAAAGTTGGTGGAGACAAAAATGATGTCTCACTTAATACAACACCTATGTTTAAATGAATAATCAAAGCAGCACTAGTAGACCATCATGTCCGGTAATTTGTAATATTATTGTTTTCCTGATTGAACATTGATCACACAATTACTCGTATAGTTGATGGTTTGTATGTCTCAATAACACAATGCATTTTATTATTTTGCAGAAACCTTCCTATCTTGCTCTGTAGTCTTTGTTGCTGTGTTAGATCCATCATACTTGATGCAATTTTCAGAAAGTCTAAATGCCACATTGAAGAAATCATCTTCCTTGAGTGCAGTGCAAATGATAACATAGATGTTGTGATCACCATAAAACCTTTGGGACCTTCAAGGTTTTGGCAAATCATTCTGCTATTTATTGATTTATTTTGTGCAAATTGAAACATGTGCGGGGAAGCTAATATAGATCGAGCACAGCACGCGCAAATATGACCCGTCGCCTATTACCGAGTCACAATTTTTGCCTCCTCAGGAAACACTTTGACGACAATCTCAGACATTGGCCAGCGTTCATTTTGCTCACGAAATTAGTGACAAAAACACTCATCAACGAATTTTTTTGTTTCATTTTAGTCAAAGATTGCTTTCAGTGAACGGAACTCATCAGGCATGACGATGACTATGGCTACCCACAAAAGACCAAAGCATGGCCGACTGTGATGAGATGAAATTAATGAGTACGAATGAAGGCGGAGACTGAGATTATTTCCGCAGCTTCACATAGACTCTGCAGTGCACCGAGGAATGTCAAAATGGTAATTTGGCTCTACAGTATGTGCATTAAAAATATATTTACTGAGTTCACTGCTCTGTTGATATGATAAAATTGCGGGATCGGACGGAATTCTGTGCTCCCTAACACAACTACATTATTTGATAAGCAAGAGTGAACTACATTATTTACTGCCTCAGTTGACGAGACCAAATACACAAAGACATGACTAAAATGCCACTGGCTGTCAACGACTACACTGACTTTATGACTAAAATGAAACAAAACCCACTGACCAAACAGGCGACATAAGTCAGCTTCACAATGGACTTCCGTTGTTTGAGGGAGACAAACAAGTAAGATATGAGGGCATTGTGCATAGATTCTTTTTTTTACTAATGCCTTCATGACACATTCTCGGGGGTGCTAGACGGGAAGTGGAAAACTGCCATACCTGATCCGAGACGTGACTGCAGCGTGCCCCGCTCCAGTACCCAGAAATCGCCGTGGTTACAGCGGACAAGCCACCAGCAGTCATTCTTCTTTTCCTAGATGAGACGGGGCACTTCACATAGGCGTGAGAAAATACACGTAACGGAGATAATTCGCAGTGGATGTAATCATACGTACTGTAAGCGGAACTCTGTTCTCTCTCTACACACAGGTAAAGAAGGTTTATTTTTAGTCCATCCGCCTATTGGCCTTCCAGACCAATATTATCAGGTAATATTTTTCTCAAACGAAAAAAATATATATAATTATTTTTATCTCTTGGATCTCATCAACAGAAAAAGGATTATTCAACTAATGCTACTGGATTGCCAGATGGTATTGGCAAGAGCGCTCCATCGAAATGATGGAGTGAGATTTAACGGAAACAAATCAACACATTACGCAAACGCATCAGGCATTGGCTGTGGAGCATTATGGGTAAAAGTGCAATAAGCAAAACCCACTGTCTCCACCCATTTATATTTTTAATTACTAGTTGACCAACCTATTGACCTTCCAGACTAAAATTATCGAGCAGCAATTGTTTAAGCAAGAAACCTCACGTGAAAGAGTGTCTTTATTGGACACCTACTGGGCCACTCAGCTTGGAATATGAAATCACGTTTTATACTAATGCCTCAGTATATTCATGTTAAGTTAATTATCGAAGGTGGACATACCACGTGGAAAACAACTAAGTGCGACCCATTCTAAAAAAAGAATTATGCACGCCATCATAAATGTTCCACAAACAATTGAGGCCATAATTAAAGCAGATATTTGGTAGTACTCTCTGAATTGGCAGCGTAACAAACTCTGGATCTTTTCCCATCTCTAACTGCAGGCTATGAATAACCTTTATTGCCCAATGCACTATTGGAGAGCTCATCCAAGCTTGTACAATTTCCAACTGGAATAACAAATCAATACTGACTTACTGAGCACAGCAAGGGAAGCAATAAGTCAACAGGTGAAGGCTTGCATATATATTCAGGAGCTCATTTATCAAAATAAGTTATGGCTAATGGTGATATGCGATTGTAAGTTTGTGAAATATTTTCCGTTAAATGTTTCTCCAGAACTTATTTTTTCCCCCATGTTTGTAAGCAAACGATAATCTTGCTGCAATGAAGTTGTCAAGATTATAGTCGCATAGATTTCCCTTTTAGAATTAAAATTTCGAGATAGCAGCTTTAAAAGAAGAAAATACTTATACAACACCGGAAGTAGAATTGGCAATGCATCATTTGAACTTGGAGTGCGGAAGTGGTGCAGTGGTTAGCACACCGCACGATGAACCAGGCTACCTTAAGTTCAATTCCAAGCAACATGTACCATACTCTTTGTTTTTTTCGGTAAAGTCACATAGAAATAAGAAATAATAATACAAATAAAATTACATAAAAGCATACGACGTTTCGATTGCAACGCAAGCAATCATCATCAGGCATAGAAGAGCTAAATTTAAGTGAGAGAGGAAACACAGAACCGCAGATATATACAGACACCCAAGTAGAGGGAGTTAACACAGAGACACAAAGAGAGACATAACGTATGGAGCACAGAGAGACAGGGTCTCTGTGTCGAGGCCCTAGCATGTGTAGTGGAGTACGAAGGTGCGTGGTGGAGGCGGCGTGATTGCATGATCACACAGACAGTACGGGTTATCTTGGGTCAGCCTGTAGCGAAGGCAAAAACAGTATGGGTCATGTTAGGACAGCCAGGAGCAAGGGCTGGGATGATGAGGTAACGGTTGGGCCAATTAAGCCAGAGGAACAAAAACGGCGGTGATTGGCTGGGGCTGTTGTCAAGGGCGAGGAGGCGTCGAGATGTCTGGAGAAAGACAGATGTTTGAGGACGCGAAGCATGGAGAGGCACCCGGGCCAATTAATTAGGGGTAATGAGAATGGAGATAAATTGGGGAGACACACAGAGAGCGGGGAGTTGGAGTTGGGCGCTGGACGAGGCAAGACGTGGAGTTGGGAGAGCCTGGAGTCAATTGAAGTGTGGAGAGTTTAGAAACAGAGTTTGGAAGACAGAGTTGAGTAACAGAGTTGAGAGACAGAGTTTGGAATGCAGAGTTGAGAGACAGAGTTGAGAGACAGAGTTGGAAGGAGAGAGCGTAGCGATAGCGAAGCTGAACAAAGACGAAGTAGTTAGCAGTGGAGTGAGCATAGCGATTGCAGAGCTGAAGAAGAGAATAGCGAGAACTGGAGTGAGCATAACGATAGCGGAGCTGAAGAGAATAGCCAGCAGTGGAGTGAGCGTAGTGATAGTGGAGCTGAAGACGCTGTGTGCGAAGTCGCTGTGTGCGAAGATGCTGTGTGCGGAGTTGCTGAGTGCGGAGTTGCTGAGTGTGGAGTCGCTGAGTGCGAAGCAAGCGAAGTAATTGTGGGGAGTGGAGAGACAAAGGTGGCGAGCGAGTCGAGTGAAGCACGGCGAGCGAGCCATGGCGACCTGGATATTGTGGAATGTGGAGGACATAATGACAACTGTAAATTAAGCGGCGTTCGAAGAAAGACTGAAGTTGTCCGAGTGAAATGGAACACTACATTTGGTGTCAGAGTGACTACGAACCACGCCGAGATGTCGAAGAAGGCGGCCAAGAAGAAGAACGTGCCGGTGGACTCGTCCGACGACAGCAACGACGAGGACGTGCTGCCCGTGTCCGGCCAAGTGGCCGATACTGCTCCAGAGGGCCTGGTTGAACGGGAAATTACAGAATGAGACAGCGGTTCGAGCGGGGCCAAGACCCCGGGACCGTCGGGTGATTGGAGAGTCCTCATAGCCCAGTGGGAGGCCAGGATGGCGACATTGACGGAGGCGTTCAACCACTTTATGACATTGGACCACGTACAACTAACGGTGTCAAGTCGACCAGCAGATGTTGCCGCGGGGTCGGAGCGATTGGAGAAATCCGACGACGATGAAGCGTAGCCGTCGGGAACAGCACAGCGACTCCATGTGCAGCGGTTCGAGGCCAAAGTTGGTGATTGGATGGCATTTACAAGACGGTTCCGAGCGGCTTATCAATCTCTGGAGTGGACTGAGGGTGCCGCGCTGCAGGCACTGCCGACGGCCCTTGATGATGATTCTTTGGCGACATTTAATGGTTTCCCTGCTGCCGTCAGGTCAACGCTGGATGGGGCATTCGCGGCAATGAGAAAGGTGTACGAGCCGCGGTCGGTCGCCAAACGTAGATTCCAGCAGAGGAGGCGGGAGGGCACGGGATCCCCTCTTGCGTTCCGCAGCGCGCTGCTGGCCCTCGCTCAAGTAGCATACCCGGCGATGGACCAGGAGGCCCTAGATTCCTTGCTGCAGGAGAAGCTTTTGCACTTGGTGAAGGAGCTACGAGTCATCCTTTCGCTTCCTGACAGCAACAACGATGATGACATGTCGTCTCTACAGATCGCCAGGAACATCCAAGTCAACCTGGACCTCCGCGACGAGCCAGCGGTGGTGGGTGTGCAGCCGCTACTGATGAGCGCTGCCGTGTCCGAGAGCGCGGTGGCGGTGAGCGAGGCGCCGCCGATTGCAGTGGTGGCCGGGGTACCACCCGCGGGCATGCTGCGTCGTCCTGCGATGTATGGAGGTGGCACGCAGCGGACGTGCTACGAGTGCGGACGGAGAGAACATCTCGCCCACGACTGCTGGCGGTGCAGGGGTGGCCTTCCAAGGGCGCCGACCAGCTACAACCGAGGATTCCCCCAGGACCGAGGATTCCGGGTGAGTCGCGATACATTCAATACACGGCCGCTCTTTCCACATCACCCATCTGCGTCATCTCACCCATTCACATCCCATTCGTATGTTGCGTAAGGTCAGGACGTGTGGGGCGCGTTGGTGCATCGTGTTTTGGGAGCTGCGCCGGGGCCGTCGGATGTGATGGCACTTATTCAAGGGGTGATGGTCAGGGTTATTGTTGATACAGGGGCTTCTGCGACCCTTATCTCATTACGAACTTTTCGCCCGTTGCCAACTTCGCCCCAGGCCCTAGAACCGGTTGACGGGCCGTGCATAGCAGCAAATGGTGGCAGCCTCAGTATTATGGGTTGTATGGTCACGACGATTCAAATTGGGGAAGTGAGCGTTACGGGGAATGTTTTGGTTTCCACGGCCTTAGCGGTACCGTGTTTGCTGGGCACGGATTTTTTGCAAAGGATGCCGCTTAAAATTTCGATAGAGAAGGGGTGTTTGGAATTGCCATCTGGGAAATGCCTGAAATTTTTGGGGACGCCTTCTAAGTTCGTGGTTGCGAACGCCGTGGTGCAGGCCGTGGTGAGCCGCACCGTTCGCGTTCTGCCTGCCATGCAGATACTTGCGCCGCTGCGCTTTAAAAAACAGTTGCCTTTCGATGAGCAACGGGAGGGTATATTGCTGACGCCCTCAAATGCTGTATCACGGATGCCCACTTTGGTAGGGGCGTTGACTATTGTACCGGAAAATTGCGACCCTTTCATACAAATTGTAAATGCGGGACACAAACCGGTCATCATTCAGGAGGGTACCACGTTAGCACATGCAACGGCAGCGCCGGGTCTGGAAGGGGGGGCGTGTTTGGCAACGGGACAGAGTGAGATGTTGTCGGATGACTGAGAGGATCCGGACTGGTTGCGAGATCTTTATATGCAAAACCCCGAACTAACGCCTGTGCAACGGTCGCGTCTTCATGGGTTGCTCGTGGAATTTAAAGATGTGTTCAGTTCAGGTAAATATGACGTGGGACATACGTCGTTGTTGCGGCATCACATTGACACTGGGAATGCACCCCCAATCAGATTGAATACCCATCGTGTAAGTCCACTGGAGAAAGATTGTATTCAGCGAGCCGTTGATCAGATGTTAGAACAGGAGATAATTTCTCCTTCATCCAGCCCGTGGGGAGCTCCTCTTGTACTCATTAAAAAGCGCGACGGGGCCATGCGATTTTGTGTTGACTACCGAAAACTAAATAAGGTTTCTGTGGTGGAAGCGTATCCGCTCCCACGTATTGATGATTCTCTAGATGCCCTGTCTGGCACGAAAATTTTTTCGACCCTCGATTTGTTGTCAGGCT